GGCCCCAGCGCAGCAACTCATTGCTAAGCTACTGCGCCACGGAGCCGTCATATTGCATATAAAGTCATCGTAATTTCATTACAGCATATAAAAGTTCACTGCTGAACCAAGGCCTCCCCCTTGGATTCATAGGGTCGATATTTGCAATGGTAAGGTACCTCGCATGGCAGGCGGATTGACAAAGTTACTTGTTTTTTTTTTCTTTCAAGATATTCTCAGTAGCTGTCCAGTGTTAACAAATTGGCAATATTTCACATCCGTATCTTAGAAAACATGAAAAGCCGTCGGTCCTGCGTCTGATCTCTCTCTCTCTCTCTCTCTCTCTCTCTCTCTCTGGTCGTGTCAGATTACCGTTCCATCGCAGGCCTCTGTCACTCTTGCTACCTGCGTGAAATAATTACCTACAATCGCGAGCTGCCCCAGGGGTAGATAGCAGTCGGGGCTAGCGCGCTCTAGTCCATTGAATGTTAGTTTTTTTTAACCCTGTTTACGTAAATATTTTTTTTTCAAATACTTGTTGAAATACTCGTCGAAATAGTTTTTGTTTAGTGTTTAGTATATTATTTGTAGGATAAAATAGTTGAAAAAGTTTTAATGTAATTTAAGAATAATATACATGTTTAGTACCTATCTATTTGATAAATTATAATGGCAAAACGTCGTTCCTACTATAATTGTTGCGGGGATGGATGCTTAACGAGCTATTAAAAGGATTCAGATACATCATTTTGTGAGTTACCAAAGCATAATAAAAGATAAATTTATTTAATTTTTTTAGATCGGTACTTATAGCGAAAAAAAATATTAAGTAATAATTTAACTACAGAAGTAATATCTAAGTACTATATTACAAAACTTAGTTGAAATTTACTTCACTACCCAAGTACCTACATACTTACATACCTATACTCGTCTTTGTAATTAAAATATTTTAAGTTATATAATAGCACAAAATACTGAAATTAAAACTTTTTTTACAAGATTTTCAACTAAGTAGATTACGATCATATTTCTGTTAGGAATCTTATTTCGGGTTTATTTGTTGTTTACGCTATCTACCTATACGAACCAAGCATCGGGATTCCCGACGAATGGCCTTGCAAGTTGCATGCGTTAGGCATCACAGAACTCACATAGTAGATAATATTATGGTCGATTATAGTTAGCACAGGTACTTTACCTAAGTAACTTACCATTTCACAGTGTATTTTTTTACTCTTTATTAACAGCCCTTAGCAACCACGGAAAGTCCGTTGTGACGTAGTAAGGAGAAAAGATGCAAAGTAATACGGCCACACGCGCCTAGCGATATAGTTTTATTTAGCTTGCGTGCGCGATTTATCTGATTAATAATAACTATGTAGGCTATTAAAACGTCGGCAAGCAGTCAACATCAAAAGAGTGCAACTTCTGTACGTAGTACTATTATTTATTCTGTGCCCATCGGATTATGAGAGTGAGGTAATAGAGAGCACCTGTGCTTGCGCATACACTCGGGCACTATATAACACTGTCCTGTGCAGGTGGCTATAGTTTCCGTCCGGTAGAGACTGGCCGCCGTGACCGAAATTCGGTCTGGAGAATATTATTGTTATTAGGTACACCTGATGTATTAAAAAAATTCAAACCTTTTATTTGGATGTCATATGGATTATTTACTTTATAACAATTAAAAAAAATATTATGAAAATCCTCCGAGAAGCTATTTATCTAATAAGTATATTTACTTCATAAAAAAGTGATTAACAACAATAAGTAGAAGATAAGTAATAAATGGAAGTGTGGAAAAGTATATATTTCTCAAGACTTTTTGAAATAATTATAACTTTTAACAAAAAAATAAAAACCGACTTCAAATTGCTAAAAATGAAGTTATTTATTTATTACCATTAGGGGTGAAATGTTTTCTCCAAATTTATATGGGACCACCCATGAGGTATAATCTATTAAATTAAAAAAAAAAACATTAAAAAAACACACTCCTTTTTGAGGTACCGTTTAATAAAATGAACAGATGAACGTCAGAGTTAAAAAAGACATATGAAATATTTGATCTAGGTGTGTTAATTATAAACTTTATTTTCTACACATACTAAAAAAATAGTACCTACATAAAATTGTATATAGTACGCTAGCTTTCATCTTAAGGTAAATATGGCTTACTAAAAGTAGTAGTAGATAGTTAAGGGCTTTTAAAACAAACATTGCTTTCAACGAACTTGACAGATTAGTTTGGTATCTAACACTTAAGTCTAACACTGATAAGTTAATTGAAAACATAATTTAAAATTAAAGATTTTGTACCACCGACTTCAATATAAATGAAGAATAACTCAAAAACTATTGGTCAAAACTTGATCAAATTTATATGGGTCCACATGCAGCACCAGCTTTCAAATAAAAAAAGAATCATCGAAATCGTTTCACCCAAAAAGAAGTTATGAGGTAACGCACACATAAAAAAATAAAAACATACAGTCTAATTGATTACCTCCTCCTGTTTGAAGTCGGTCGAAAAAATGTGTACACTGTACAACGAGTTTTTATTAGTTACCTTTGTATCAAACAGCTCATCAGCACTCATAGTGAAAACATCTGTCATCTCTCTACAATAACTGAATTTGAAACCGCTTAAGAATTTGGAAAAATGGCGGTCAAAATGGCTACAAAAAACATGATTTTATTTTATGAGATTTGTAAACCAAATCCTCGATTATTTTCACCTTCCGTCCCGATATTTGACCCACTGGACCCGGTAACACTAACACACATACATAATTATATAGCGAAAGGTGCTAACACGCATGCCTTGAAAAGTTACAGGTGGTAGTCAACGCCGTACTGAAAATCAAAGGCGCTGACATTTTGTTTTAATGTGAAGAAAAATGTTGCGATTAATATAAAATAAAAGATCACTTTTATTTTCAATTTAATACATAATACATGGTATAATATTTAACTAGGTATAATGTCATAATTTGTATTAAACTATAACTAAAATTTACATGTATTGTAATTTATTTATAAATAAATAATATGTTCTAGTTCAATTTTTTTTTAATCGATAACTAATCGATAATTTTCGCTTTGTTTGTGTATCGTCGTTCGTAATCGCCTTTTTAAAATCGCTTTAACATTGTACCATTTTTAGACACGCTAAACTGTAAGTTGTCACCCGTACCCAACTACAAAGACTATAATAACTTAGTAGACGATAGAACCATGAAGTACCTATACGATTAATACCTTCCGAGATTATCAACGACTTTAATTTTTTTTCAATTTTACGTATTGTCGACTTCCTTCTTTATGATCGTCGTTCAAAGCCAACTTTAAATAGCTGCCCATCAACTGATAAATTGTTATAAAGATTTCATCATTTCAGGCATAACAATTTTGTTAACGTCAGACCGTTGACACCCAGACAGGCGACGGAAATCGCTCTGCGGATAATTTTGCGTTTACGGGTTCTACGATCGTAGCGCTTTAGGCAAATTCTTCCTATAACAGGAGAGGCCAATGTCCAACAGTCGACTTTTACGGGCTAAATAACAAAATTAATGATAGCTAATAATAAAATGGATTGCTTTTTTTTTCTATTTATTATCATTCGGACGACAACCGAATTTTTTATCACTTAAAATCTTTAATAAAATACCTACTTCTGACGCATATTGTGAAAACTTAATTAATACCTAGCGATCCCTTCCAGCTTTGCACGGGTGATTTCTGGATCTCGAGAACAGCGTCTATCTCCTAATTATAGCTAAGAACAATCCGGATGACCCCATAAGTACCCGATAAAAAATTCATTAAAATCGGTCAAGCCGTTTAAGAGAAGAATTGCGAACACACGCACACCGGAATTTTATACTTATACTAGCAATCCGTCCTGGTTTTACACGATTGATGTAATTTAGTTATTTCTATTTTTAGTGATTTCTAAATGTCGAAATCAGCACCACTTACCGGGCCCAATCGTAAATCTAAGCCATCTAAGGACCCACTAAAACACAAAAAAAATCATCAAAATTTGTCCAGCCGTTTAGGAGTTCAGATTTTGATTTCTTACGTTCAAGTACAGTCACGGACACAACTAGTTATTGTTAAATAAAATAAGTATTACATAAGCCTAGTAACAACTACGGTGGCACAATAAACGTATACTTACACAATAAACGCGACACGCAGACGGAAATCCGTCGCAACAAATATCGGGAAATGAACACGAATGAAAAAAAATATATTCAATAGTGTAGCTAACATTTACCCGCGGAAACCGATCGTTTATTCAAAATCCGCCATTATGCGCCAGCGGAAACCGGATGTGGGTCACGCGTCCGTACTAATGACGGATTAAAAATGGCGCGTGGGGCCATTATGTAATTATTTGGAGGATGTTTTCTTTCCGTAGTTATGGCGGAGATTAAAAACTCCGTGAACGAGGCATTTTTAAATATATGTCACTTTGTACGTCTAACCTCAACGAATAAAATTATAAGGGGCATTCTTTGATTCCGTTTCATTGTTACGTGCAATTTTTTTAAATAATTACATTTTGTGACGATAAAAATTATACAATTAATTCTATATTTATTATTTTAATCAACAATAAATACAGTGTACCTAACATTTGGTATAATTGAATTGAATAGAATAGAATATTTTTTTTATTCGATATACATGTTATTATATTCTTATTGAGTCATTTTTTACTTTTACCATCGGTTTGGAAAACAAACCACTGTCCTGGAAAGAACCAGCAAGAAACTCAGCGATACTTTTTTTAAAGTAAATTATACAATAAATGTACAAAAAATATACAGTAAGGGAATTGCAGGTGAAACCTGATATGCGAGTGTGGCCCTTCCTCTCTCATCAAAGAGGATGAGAAAAAATTTACAGTCGTTACATTTTTAAAACAATGTGTGGTCTGGCAACAGCATAATTTACTTGTTTCTTATATTTTACAGACGTACGCCCCGCATTGTGTGACGAACATGCCGACGCAGATCCGCTGCGAGCGTGTGCCGCCCGCTGACGGCAGCTGGGGTGCCCTCGACTTGAGACTCTTGCAGGAAGACGACTTACCTCTAGGTAAATATATGTTTCTTTTTAAATTATAATATTTAAATTATGTGCCGTTTTTTTTTTAACTATGCTATTATAGTTTGAAAACACAACCAAAGACAAGAATCTATTATGTCGCTGCTGTAAGAAGGATCTACTTTCTTTTCTTCTATTTTTTAAATACGTTATTTATACTAGGATATTCTCTTATATCGTGGAGAGACATTTTACAATGCTCTACTACGTAGAGCCACGCTGCAGCTATATTAGTAGTATAGTTGTAGCACGAATGGGTCGACTCGACCGGGGAGGGACCACGCTCTCACAGAATACCAGCGTAAAATAGCAGCTTAACCCTGCTGTGCTTCGTATGGTGAGTGTAGATAACCGGAGACTCTTTTTACTGGAAATGAGGCATTTCATCTTAGTCCTCACGGGTGTACATTTGTAATAGAGGAAAGATGTAGATGTCTATGGGTCGCAGCAATTACCATCAGGTGCACCGCGTACTCGTTTGTCACCCTTATCCTATAAAAAAGCCATTGAGCGAGTAAACTCGGTCAATGTTCTTAGCACTATACCACAGGGGTAGCGCTGTATGATAATTTAAGTAGTTTTTTGTTGTAATAAATATTTCATATTTAAATTGAATCCGATCAATTTTGACCGTTACGTAGACATACCTAGTATGACCTGAACAGTCGGTACCAATAGCGTGTTGTCTGATCAGATCCCCGCACGTGGGGGCGTGCGGAGGTGGGCGCGTGGGTGTCGCGGCGCGGCGGGCTGCCCGAGCGCTTCCCCATGAACGGCAAGGCGCTGTGCCTCATGTCGCGCGACATGTTCGCCAGCCGAGTGCCCAGAGCTGGTCACCAGCTGCACCAGGTTTGTATTCATACATATATCCACACATACACACACACTCACCCCCGCACACAGACACACCTGTGCAGGTGTGTATGTCAATAATTTTGAAATTAAAGTTTCTTTAGACGCATTCTTTCTGAACAGTAGCTAAAGTGAACAAAGTTCTTTCTGAACAATCTTACGTGGTAGAACCATACTGCAGCTGTATTATAGTTGTATCACGAATGGGTCGGCTTAACCGTGGAAGGGCCACGCTCTCACAGAGTACCCGCGTAAAATAGCAGATTAATACTGCTGTTTCGTATGGCGAGTGTGAAAACCGGAGAACCATTTTATTGGATACAAAGCATTCCATCCTAGTCTTCAGGAGTGGCAACGCATCTGCATTTTGATTCGTAATTGAGGGTAGATGTAGATGTATATCGGCCACAGTATACACTTACCATCAGGTAGATTGTGTGTAACGAACACAGATTGTGTGTTCGTTTATCACCCTCATTCTATATAAAAAAATTTAGAAAACGACAAGCTTGTATGCGTAGATATATGGATGTAAAAGAAGCGAAAGGGTTTCAAAACCGTGACAATTGTATGTCTGTAGTCTCTCACTACTCCGGGTGACACGATGTAAAAGATTGTTAAGCACGATACGTCGACCGTATAACTAAAAACGTAAAATCAGCCAGAACTGAAACGTTGTATGTACGAAGGGAGGTCAAAAAGTTCGCGAAATGGCGGGGTTGGCGAGAATGAGTTTACTCATCCAGATAGGCGCTAGTTGAGTGACTCGTTGTTAGTATATATACCAAGTTTCAGCGTAATCGGTTCATTAGATTTTAAGTTATTAACGAGTAAACAAGTCAATCGGGAAGAAACTAGCCACTGTGGAGAAAATTTAATATCGCGTCGTCATTAAGTTTCTGAACAAGGAAAGGACACCTCAAACCATTTTTCAAGAGATGTCAGCTGTTTATGGGGACTCCGTTCCTGGGAAAACCAAAACCACGATTTATAAACAGCACGCCCTTATAAAACAAGGGAGTGACTCCATAGAAGACGAGCCCCGGACTGGACGGCCGATTGAGGCTACCACGCCAGAAATAATCGAAAAAGTTGAAAAACTTGTATCGGAAGATGCCAGGTTAATAAAAAAGGGCTTGCAGCATTAGTTGGAGTATCAGAAACAACCATTTTAAACATCCTACATCAACACCTTGGCATGACTAAAGTCTGTGCAAGATGGGTTCCGAGAATGCTTTCTGCGCATCAAAAACACGAGCGCGTCGAAAGTTGTCGCGATTTTTGTACCGCTGTGGAGAGCAAAGGGAGGAAGTTATGACCCGAATCGTATCTGGCGATGAAACTTGGATTCACCATTATGAACCTGAGTCAAAGCAAGAGTCGATGCAGTGACATAAAAAAGGCACACCCCCTCCTAAGAAGTATAAGGTGTCTCAATCGGCCGGAAAGATCATGGTGACGATCTTTTGGGATACAGAAGGTATCCTTTTGATTGAACGTGGTGTTTCCATAACGGGAAAATACTATGCTTCTTTACTAGATCAATTAAAAGAAGCTATTAAAGAAAAAAGGAGAGGAAAGCTTACAAAAGGCGTGCTCCTTTTGCACGACAATGCGCCCGTGCACACAAGCCATGTTGCGACGGCTGCCATTCACCGGTGTGGTTTTGAACAACTGCGCCACCCACCCTACAGCCCGGACCTGGCCTCAAGCGACTATTATTTGTTTCCAAAAATGAAGAAACAACTGCGTGGAAAAAAAATTGGCGACGATGATGAAGTGAAGTCGGCAATTTTTGACGCCCAAGACAAATATTTTTTTAAACGGTATTAATAAGTTATTTGACAGATCTAATAAATGTATAAGGGATAATACATTGAAAAGGAAAAATAGTTTAATTTTTCATTTCATTATCCTTCCCTGTCATTCCGCAAACTTTGTGACCTCCCCTCGTACGTTTCTATACAGAAAAGTTGTTCTAAGAAATCAATAATTCAAACCAAACGGTTTGCTTCGTCATTCGTAATGCGTACAATGGAGTGAAATCATTTGCAGCATCTGTCTTTCCATTTAATTGCAATGTCGGTGTCAAAAGACTGTGTCATCTTTTACGATCAGGTGGACTGTGTACTCGTTACCAAGTCTTCGTGGACGCTTACCGTTATAGCCTATCAAAATGCCACTGCTGAACATAGGCTTCCCAATAGATTATCTCATAGGGGGATGGGATGTATTTGCCATAGTTGCCACGCTCTTACAATACCCACGGGATGATATGGGATAGTGGATATTCTTACACCGCCATTACACGGTCGATTGACTACATTTATAACAAAGTCTCAAGTTTCGAATATATAACAAGTCATATAACACTGCTTCCGAACTCATGTTTCAACGGTATATGTTGAAGACAAGCATGTACTTGGCAATTTGTAAGTATTTTTTTTTTCTTCCAGGATTTCCGACGAAGATTAGCAAAAGCATTAGCGCTACAAGAGTTCATTGAAAAGATGTCAACAAAATGAAAAGTCTAATATTACATTAGATATGTATAAATTGATACAATGATGTGCAGAGGAGAGACCTTATGTTGAATTTGTTAATTTACCTCATTAATTTTATTACAAACAAAAACGGCTTACCAAAAGCAATTTCACGAAATCAAATACTTAATCTTAAGATTTTATAAATATATTTCTTCGATTATATAATATAACTAGGTTAGATATTTAGATTTCACTGCGTTATAAATTTTAATAGAAGTGTTTTTAAACTGTAGACCATTTACGTTCCTATTAACAATAGTAAATTAATTTGTATATTTTTCAATAAATTCGTGACACATGGTTTCCTGTTCGTACAAAAGACATTAGTTAGTAATAAGATATAAAGAAAAATTGTTACAGATTACAAATAAATGTTAATTTAATTTTTATTGAAGTGAAACTTCTTTATCGACGTAGTGGAGAAATATAGTACGGTATTTTAAAAAAACTTCACGTATTCTTGTAACGTTAAACCGCCGGGGCTGCATGAGTATACTATAATTTAACCTACTTATGTAAAATATAAAATAAAAGAAGAATGATATGTCGTAAAGAAGTTTCACTTCGTAGGTGTATACATAATTACCCGCACATTTTTTTTTGTATACAAATTCGAACCTGCGAGATTGTTATCCATAGTTTAAGTTTTTTTTTAACGTACTTGCTGTGAATATTATTACAATTCTTGGTCTGATTACCCTATCAATGAGAATGAGAAATTGAGATGTTTTCCCGACTTTCATTATTAGCATTTACACAGAACCCAAAGATTTCTAAGGATACTGCTAGACGGGCTCTGCGGTCTTAATAAATACATTGCGCATTAAGTTAAGCTCAAACACAATTCTTCGTAACTACTTCAGTCGATTTGTATCGTGAACCGCGAACGTTGTTTTCGACAATGTAACACGTGATTTTGTTTAATGTAACTAAAAAAACACCGTCATTATTTATTTGCGCACTTTGTCAACGTGATTCGCAGTTTACCTCTCAGACCTTGACATTTTATTGGACATATTTAGTTAGAACTATGGTCAAGCCAAAGAGTATAGTAGGTCAGGCCAGACGATTTTTTAAAAAAAATGGTAAAAATTACTTAGAGTCATTACTATGTTCATATCCAAAAATAAAAAATTATCAACAATTAAAATATCGAATTATTTATATGAAGGTCAAGTGAGCGCTAGAGTGACGACGATTGCAAGACGATTTGTCGATAAATGAAATGTTTCGAGAAATTATCAATTACTGTGTAGTGGCGGTGTATGAATATTCATACTATTCCGTGGGTTTCGTAAGAGGCGACTGATCCACTGTTCAATACAACAAGGTACGTGTACCGTGGAACAGAACGTGGCAACTATGACAAGTATACCCTCTATGAGGAATATAGTGGAGGCCTATGTTCATTGGGGGTTTTTATAGGATGTAACGGTCCATCACCAGCAGTGGCATGAAACTGTAAGGAGAGGGAGGGATTAATTTTATTATTTAAAAAAATATTTTTGTGTTTTTTTTTTTATAGAAGAGGGGGCAAACGAGCATTCGGCTCACCGGATGGTAAGTGACTACCGCCGCCCATGAACAACCGCAACACCAGGGGAATTGCAGATGCGTTGCCGGCCGTTTAGAAAGGTGTAAGCTCTTTTCTTGAAGGTCCCTAAGTCGTATCGGTCCGGAAAATCCGCCGGTGGTAAACAATTATGTGTAAATAAGTCATCAAACAGCATCAAACAATTTATTAAACAAAAGTTGCGTAAACAAGTTCAATGGTTAAAACAATATTAAATAACAAAACCAAACAATTCTACTGAAAAGAAAAAAAAGTAAATATTATGTCACTTTTACAACTAAGGCAAATCTAACGAATCGCTATCGAATAAATATTATGAAGAAAGAAACAAGGACATAGAAACACTTGATTTTCATAAAGAAAAGAAATATATAATATAATTATATCGATAAACTCAGTAGAAGCCTCAAAAAAAATTAAATCACAGGTATATACTTGTACATCCGTAAGATAGCGTAATAAAGTATATACTTTATTACGCTATCTTTGAGCAACGCCATTTTTCTAACGACTTCAAACAGGAGAAGGAAGTCGACTGTGTTTTTTTATGTGTGTTACCTCATAACCTTCTGGGTGAACTGATTTCGATGATTCTTTTTTTATTTGAAAGCTGGTGCTTCACATTCACATTTTTATTTTTAGTTATTGTTGAAAACAACTTCGCCATAATGTTCACTATATATCGAAATTATAACATAAAACGTAATTTTCGCGCATTGGACTTTGTGGGATATGAAAATTTGTGTTTATTACATGATTTATTGTGATAACTCACACTTTTTATTTACTTTTCAGTTAATTCTGGCTATTAAATATAGTGATACGTGAACGACACAGTATTTGAAATGGCAATTTTATAAAATATATGAAATTGTTACGAAGCAAAATATAAGGAATTAAATTTTAAAACAGTGTAATTACTTACCATTTGTATAAAAACTAACAAAAAACTTTCTATTGTACCCACTTAATTTTTTGTAAAATTTCTAGTTGCCTCTTACACTCACGCGGCGAAGGATATAAGACTAAAGTATGTGACGTAAACGCGACGCGAGGCGGAAACTCGTCATTTGAAGTAAATTCTGTTAATTTAAAGAAGCGTAATTTAATAACGAAACTAATTCTAATAAAATTTTAGTTTTATAAGTAGTTCATCTAAATAACATTTAAAAATAATTGTTATGAGCACAATAACTATGGTTCTGACTAAACGTAGTGTAGTGATCATATACTCTTTGGTTCTGAGGGGTCCTTTCTAAATATTACCATACTCTTTGGAGCGTTCTACAAAGTTGACCTTGGATTGCCTCATGTGTACTTCAAAGGCTTGACAGATTAAGATAAGTATGTAATTATTTCGTATTCGCCTAAAAACAGTAAGTCGTAAATGAAAATACAACTGCGTGGAATATTTACAGAGCAGTGACAGTTTTTATACTGAATTCCCGATCTAGTATACACATAGACGTCTTTGACAGAATCACTTATTGACTATGTAGGTGAGAGTATTTATGATACGAACATCTCGCGAAATTTTTTACAGCGAAAGGAGACGGTCCAAAACTGTGTGAAGTACTACCTACGTACCTGGTTTTGTACTAGTAGGGAAATAAATTGAAATTAAATATTAAACCACTTTTGATCATTCAAATCCACGAATTTGCCTTTATTTCAATGGTATAATAATATTTTATTCTCATCAAAAATGCAACACTAATGGCGGATTGATGTCGTTTTGACGTTAGCTGTCAACTGTCATGAGGTTATTGATCCATTTATTGATAGCTATTTGTTAATAACATAAGGAATCATCTTTCTTTAGTACATATCTGCCTACTGATTCAAAATATGATTCTACGGGTGTCCAATATCAACGAAATCAAAATCTCACGTAAATTATGATTCCATAAAAGCCGAGTCAAACAAGTAATAACAAAAATCCAAATAAAAAAACGAAATCGCCAAAGAAATCCACAAGAAACATAATAAACGCATTCACAATTACACGACGTTACGTACGTTATTTCATGACTTAAGTCACTTGTCAGAAATAACATTAGAATAGAATAGAATAGAATGATTTTTATTCAATATGGATTATTACATAATACTTATTGAAAGTCATTATTTTATTTACCACTGGTTCGGAAAATACCTCTGTCCTGGGAAGAACCAGCAAGAAACCCAGCGGGACTTTTTTTTTTAAACATAATTTCACTTAACAATAATTTTGTTTATACAATTTTAAATGAATTTTCATAGAACCAGCATGGTGGCGATCACCTTATTCCCAGGGGTTATTTTCATTCATGTATTCCTTGATATTATAATAACCCTTTTTGTACAGTTTTTCTTTAATAAAACTTTTAAACTTGTTTATTGACAAACTTTGAACATGTTCTGGGATTCTGTTGTAAAAGCGTATACATTGCCCCATAAATGAATTACTAATTCTGTGGAGTCTTGTAAGTGGCATTACAAGCTTATGTTTGTTCCTAGTGTTTAAGGTATGAACATCCTTATTCTTATTAAAGCTATTTATGTTTTTATGTACATAGATTACATTTTCATAAATATATTGCGATGCCAAAGTTAATATGTTTATTTCTTTAAATTTTTCTCTAAGGGACTCTTTACAATTTAGATTATAAATCGCCCGTACGGCTCTCTTTTGCAAAACAAATATAGCTTCAATATCAGTCGCATTACCCCATAGCAAAATTCCATAAGACATTACGCTATGAAAGTAACTAAAATACACTAACCTAGCTGTCTCAACATCTGTGAGACTTCTAATCTTTCTTACAGCATATGCTGCAGAACTAAGTCTGCTTGCTAATTTAGATATATGGGGGCCCCATTGAAGTTTCGCGTCAATAGTAATACCGAGAAAAACAGTGGTATCCACAAGACTCAACTCCTCCCCATTTAAGAGCACATTGGTTTTCGAATGTTTTACATTAGGTATTGTAAATTTAATACATTTTGTCTTATTGATTTGACGACTAATCGCGTCATTCGCGCCATCTTGTAAGACCATCAAAAACTGGAATTGCGATTTTATTTTTAACAAGTTATGTATTTAGTTTGATTTATTCTCTTATTTTATTTTTAATAAAATCCCTGATTTTTTTTCGCTTTTTTACGTTACAGTGTACATAGACTTGGCCTTGAATGGACCGTCTCCTTTATCGAATTTAAATATTTGGTATGATAACATTGTTTTATCCCGAAAATTTTATTTTAATGCACAGATCTAATCCTAACAATAATCTGTAAGAAATATTATTAGTGTAACAACTGTATCAGTATTATGAGCACCAATTCGTATGTGTTGTAAGTATGTATAGATTATAGGCTTATTATTATTTTGTTTGTTGAGTGTAAGTACTGTCCGAACGTTAGG